GTGAGGGGAGGGGGGGGAGCTGGCGGGGGACGGGGTGGCTGGTCAGGGTGGGCCGAGCCCAAGCTGTGCCGGGATGCCTGCTGGGTCAGGATAAAGCTTGGTTCGGGGCCTGGATAGAAACATGAGGTGCAGTTGGCTGCTTTTCTCCCGTTTCCCACAGGGATGGGGAGGGGTTGAGCAACCCTGTGTTTCCCTGCCCTTGTTCTCTGCATCCCTCTTGGCTGGGGAAATGATGGCTGCAGCCTGCAAAGTTACTGCAAATGTGAATTAAATCCCATACTGCAAAAACACGTCTGTGCATGCAAGCAAGGGGAGTTGGAGAGGAGGGGGCAAAGGGGTACTTGATGTTAACTTAATTTTTAGCTGGGTGCAAATGAGAGTGCCGGTGCTGAAGGACACTGGAGGTGTGTACAAGCTGACTGCAGGCATGGCCCCCATGTTTTGGTGCATGAGAAGCCCCTGGTGCACAACTTGCTGTAGTTTGGTGGCCTCTGTCCTTCCCACCTCAGGATTACTATGGCAAAGAGCTGCAGAAGTCAGAGGACCTGAAAACAAATGCGTGCATCACCTCGGCCAGGCCCCTTCCCAAGGCAGTGAGAGATGCTTTGAAGCGTGTCCACGAGGAGGTGGTAGCCAGGTAGACCCCGGGGTCTCCCCTCCACTGCTGCATCCCCATGAACTGCAACACCCTGAATCTCTGTGCTGTGGATGCACCTCTGCCCTGCTCAGCTCCTCATCCCCTCAGGTACTACGGCTGTGGTCTGGTCATCCCTGAGTGCCTGGAGTCATGCCGGATCCTGGACCTGGGCAGTGGCAGCGGCAGGGACTGCTACCTGCTGAGCCAGCTGGTTGGGGAGCAGGGCCATGTCACCGGGATAGACATGACCGAGGGCCAGGTATGGCGTGGAGCTGAGGGCTTCCGCTTTTCCCTTCAGCATCCCCCCCCCACCATTGTTTTCTTCCTTCTCCCAGGTCGAGGTGGCAAAAAAGCACATTGCCTACCACATGGACAAGTTTGGCTACCAAAAGACAAATGTGGAGTTCCTCCAGGGCTACATGGAGAAGCTGGGTGATGCCGGGTTGGCTGATGAGAGCTACGATATTGTCATGTAAGTACAGCACAGGGCACTGCCACCCCTGATACTGCTGCTGCCCAAGTCCAGGTCGGCATCCCACTTGGGTAACCCATTTCAGGAGCACGTGTTTAGGAAAGGAAAAATTCCAAGGCAGACTCTGGGCTAGAGCCTAGGAGTATACAAACCACCCTTTTTGTGGTCAAATTGATGTCTCCAAATCCTGAATGAAGCAGTGGGACACACAGCAGCCAGTGGATGTGCAGCAGCTGGTGGTGCTGAGTATGTGAGAGAGTAGAAATGAACCTCAGTCTCCTCCTCCCCAGCTCCAACTGCGTGATCAACCTCTCCCCCGACAAGAGGGCCGTGCTGCGGGAGGCCTACCGTGTGCTGAAGGTTATGCTGGAACTGGTGCCCATGGTGGGAGTGGAGCAGAGATGGGGTGGGCCTGCAGTTGGGGTGCCACTGGGATGCAGCAAATGGGATCCAGCAAGGTGGGGATGCAGGATGGGGCCAGGGAAGGGCACCTCTGCAGGGGGTGTCTAGCAGGGTAGCACTGGGGGGTGGCCAGTTCTGCCCACCCCTTTTGTCCCATTGCTTCTTGGGGTCTCCCTTCACTCTTCACTACCTTCCAGCCTGGGGGAGAGATGTACTTCAGTGACATCTACGCCAGCCAGCACCTGAGTGAGACCATTCGGAAGCACAGGGTGCTGTGGGGTGCGTAGGGCTTCATGATGGGGATGACATGGGATGGGGGACCAGACCTTTGCCTCCATCACTGTGTCTGTGGTGTTGTGCTAGGGGAGTGCCTGGCGGGAGCCCTGTGCTGGAGAGACCTGTACAGCATTGCCGCGGAGGTGGGGTTCAGCCCCCCGTGCCTGGTCACCTCCAGCCCCATCACCATCGGCGACAGGGAGCTGGAGGGCATTGTCGGTGAGGGTCTGACCAGGGAGTGTTGGCTCCAGGCAGCCGTGGAGTGCTGTGCTGGGATCCCGGGCTCTACCAGTTCCCCGCCTGAGCACTTGGTTCCCAACTCACACACTTTCCCCTTGCAGGTGACTGCCGCTTTGTCTCTGCAACTTTCCGCCTGTTCAAGATACCAGGTAGCAGCTGGGCTGGGCCAGGACAGGTCATCTACAATGGCGGGATCGTGGGGCATGAGCGAGAGCTGGTGTTCGATGCCAATTTCACCTTCAAGGTGGGAGGAGGCATGCTGGGGCTCTCCAGAATGCCAAACAGTCCTGGTCTGTAGGGATGGGGGAGAGCTGATGAAGCAGTGCTACTCAGCAGCGTTCTTTGTGATTTTGGGGGTAAGCTTTGGTAGAGGGGGTGGTAGGTGGGAGCAGAGGGGCTGTCCAAACCAGGGGAGGTGCAAACAGAGGTGAGAAAGGGAGTCAGATGCATGCATTGCACTGGGGTCAAGATAGGAGGAGGACATCCATGGTGGCTTCACAGGAGGGTTTGAAGCCAGCTGCTTGGTTGTTGTGGGTGTTTCTCAAGGTTTTGGGCCAGTCTGCTGGCTCCCCTGCTTCAGCTCCCCTTATCCTGTGACTGGGTGGCTGGAGTCCCTGGGTCACATATTCTGGATCCCAGCCCTGTGATTGTCCTCTTGCCCCCAGGAAGGAGAGGTGGTCGACGTGGATGCTGAAATGGCTGCGATCTTGCGGAGCTCCAGGTTTTCAGAGAAGTTCCTGATCCGAGCTGGTGGAGCCAACACTGCTGCTCAGCAGGGCTGCTGTTGCACAGGAGTGAAGGTTGGTAGCAGGCAGCTCCATGGCTGGATTCAGAGATGGGGCCACAGGTATCCCCTGCCATCAGAGTTGTCCTGGGATCTTGGAGGGGCTACAGCATGACATCAAGAGACCTGAATCCTTCTGGGCCAGGCAGAAGCCCATGGGGTACCGAGGGTGGTGCCTGGTACCTTATTTTGGGCAACTGCAGCCCAGTTCAGGTTGGGGCCCTTCAAAGGGGGGTCTGCTCTAACCACCAGGCATGAGAGCCCCTTGCCCCCCCAACATGTCCATGAGGACTGCTGAGGCTGACAGCTGGACCTGCCTGAGATTTCCCAAGGAGAGATATCCCTCCCCTGGGGAGATGGCTAGGGACAGCCTGCCCCAGGGAGGTGATGGCCCATCCCCACGACTCTTTCCTGCTCTCCCAGCTGCTGATGTGAGCTTGGCCCTGGCTGCCAACCCTGACCCCGCAGCACGGAGCACCTTTATCTGCTAGAATCCTCTCTCCTCTCTTTGGTAGTCCCTCCAGCCATGACAGACAAGAGAGATAATGCCTTGCAGCTGTGTGTCCCTGAAACACAACCTTGTATGTGGGGAAGGGGAGATATTCTTGTGTCCCTGTCCAAGTAGGAGGCATTTCTCAGATAAAAGCAGAGCCAAAGTCCCAGAGAAACTCTTGGCTTCCTCCTTGCGGCAGGGAAAAGCAGCTGGAATGACCTGGGGGCTGCCCCCATGTTAGCTATGGAAAGTCTGCTGGGGCTGCCCCACTGGCAGGGAGCGAGTTAGGGGGAAATGTCACTTTCCTGAAATGCCTCTTGCTTCCTTCTGGCCTGATCCTGCCCCAGAATGTTCTCTGCCCTCCAGGAGAAGATCTGCGATCCCTTCCAGCTGCTGGAGAGACTGGTAGCCCCAGGTCCTGCCTGCTGTCCTGGTGGCACCGGTGGTCCCCCAGGGTGCTGCTGAGCAGTGAGCAATGGATCCACACCGGTGGATGCCAGCAGGGCAGGAGGAGGTGGTCCCAGCGCCACTGCAGAGCAAATAAATGGCTGAGCTTGAAGTGTGTGTGCTTGTGGCCAGGACCACGGGGCCCAGGGGGTGCAGTGCTTCCCTGTTGGGGCTGGTGGGGCAGGCCCCACCTGGTTGCGGTGAGGGTGGGCAGCCGTCCTGTGGGTCTGGTACTATGGGGCTGGCAGTGGCCACAAGTCTTGGACACACAGATGGGGATGGTCTCTGTGGGAGAGGGGTTGTGGGCCCCTGCACATGGGACGGCAGGTCTGGTGTGGGTTTGGCAGCAGCTTCCTGCTTGTGTTGAGCCCAGGGAGCAGAGTGGGGATCTTTGCAGAAGGCAGCATGGCAGAACAGGGTGTGAAAGGAAGTCCTGGCACTGCACAGGGCCCAACCCTGCAGCATGCACCCTTCTTCATGAGCCTGGCTTCAATTTGAGGTCTTTGGGAGCCCACAGCCGAGACACAAATGCTTCTGAGAAGTGAAAGGCACAGCAATAAGCAGCCCAGTGCTTTTTCCTTCTTTTGATCTCCTCCTGTTAACCCTCTACATGAAGGGAGCCCGGCAGAGTCCAGCCATCTCCCAGGGGTGGGGTGAGCAGCTCAATAACATGATTGTAAATGAGCATCTCCCCAGGGCAGTGGGTGAGAAGGATTGTTCACCTCCTTGGAGCTTGGCCAGCCATGCTTTTCCATGAGGAACTCACCAGGGCACATGGGGTGCAAAGGGATGCCTGTATTGGCATTCAGGATGGGGGATACCCCAAGTGCAGCTCTCCACGCCTTGTCTTGCAGCCCCCACAGCCCGTTCCAGGAAATGGGAATTCCTCTCCCTTTCCCTGTGCAGTGCTGCTGCAGTTTCTTTTTTTTCCCAGACTCCATCTAGTGGGAAAACCGTGAGCCCTTTGCAAACCTTGCACCTGCAGAGTTTTGCAAGGAAATGCAGCGATTCTGGAAAAGCAGAAGCCCGTCTGGCCTTGTGCCGCAGCAGATGAGGAGTGAGAGCTTTGAGGCTGCAGTGGGAGGTGATGGGCTGAGCTCCTGCCACCCCTTGTCCACAGAGGCTCTTTGGGAAAGACTGTGGGCTGTGCCTGAGCCCTTGGGTGAGCAGCTGAGCTTAGACATGAGGGACCATTTCCACCCCTCCTCACACACTGATTTTCCAGGAGGGATCAAGTTTCCCGTTTGCCATTTAAACAGCATCTTGCTGTGACATGGGGGAAGATAAAAAGCAAACAATATAATATTTGGGCTCAAAAAGAAACATGGGCAAGTGCCAAGGACACTCTGCAGTAACAGTAGCGGTGACTGAGGAGAGTCCAGGTGATAAGGAGGCATTTCCAGAACATGTGGAATAAAAAGAATGAACGGTCAAGTAATGCCCAGCTGTCGCACAGTGACAGAAAATCCAGAAACAGACATGTCAGCCCAGAATGTTTAACCTGCCCTCTGTCATCAGCAAAATAGAGGAGTGATTAACACACAATTTAGAGATTAAACATATAAATAATGCCCAGAAATATGGTTTCCCATAATATCACCTTGCCAGCCTGTCCTTTTGGTTTTGGATGAGACTATGAATCTGATCTAGTGGGTGTACAAAAATTTGTAAATTGTTGAGTTTAGAGCTATAGCATGATTTAAAAAAATAATCCTTGATGTTATCTGGAATCAAAGGGGCATGTATTAGCTGGCATCAGGTAGGGTTCCTCGGCAGACCAGCCTCAGGGGCAGCTGTGACCCAGCAGGTGAGAGGAGCTCTGAAATGGTGTGAAAGGACATCAGTGATGGGATCTTGGGAAGCACCTGCTGAAAACACAACCAAGATTCTGTTTAATCCCCTGCCTCCGCATAGCTCTCTTCCTCAATTACTTACAAAGACTTTCTCAAAGTCCCGAAACAGCCCATTATGGGAGGTTTGCAGCAATTATCTCCTGATATCAAAGAGAGCCTTCCCAGTATGAACGGAAGAGCAGATGGAGCAGGGGTCCTACCTGCAAACCCTTCATTAAAAAGGCATGAGTCCCTGCCGCGGCCTTGCAGCTTGCCTGGGGAGATGTCACCCACAGCCAGGTCCCCTCTTTCACATGCATACGGAAAAAGGCCACAGCTAAATGCCACTGCATTTGCATAGCACTATTTTTAAAAAAATTCTCAGCATTTCTGAGAGGAAGCAGCTAAGAGGACTTGACTTGGATTTAGAGCATTAGAGTAGGGGTCCTCAGCAGGCTGTGGATGTGGGGGTGTCTTGTCTGCCAGGCTTTGGTTATGCGTGCACAGTCTGGGGGCTTTTAGCCCCCAAGCTGTGAAAAGAAGAGGTCCTGCAGCCTCGTCCCACGTGAGGAACCCCGAAACAAACACCTCGGTCTGGGTGTTTTGGTGATTGTAGAGGTGGGCCAAGTTCCCTTCTCCCAGTGTGAAGCTCTGCAGCATTGGTGTCCCCTGTCTGCAGGTAGGGAGAGTGCTGTGAGGGCAGGAGCTGAAAGTTGTGGTGCTCTGATTCACTCCAAGATGCAGGGGAAATGATTCCCGAGTCTAACCTCACTGTGGTTAGCAGAGTCACGGTGGCTCAGGGGCCTTTGTCACCTCCCTCGGGGAGCAGGCCTGCAGGACTCCCCCAGGGTGACCTGAATGAGGTCTGGGGTCAGGGAAGATTTGTGGCTACAGGCCCCAGAGCTCTGTGCGCTTCTCCCTGCCGTGTTGGGTTCTCCTGTGCAAGCCCCTACTCTTCCATTTTCCAAGCACTTAAATGGAGGGGAGGCTGTTTTACCTCCCCTAAAGGGTCACCCTCAACCCAAAACGTGATCTCAGCCACCATGAGCCATACTGGATGCTCCCACGACGTCATCTCTGGCTGTCTGGGATGCTAAACTGCCCTGCACTGTCTGGAAAGAGGCATGATGATGGTGGGGCCATGGGGCGTTTCTTGCCCCAGATGGGATTGCAGCACAGCAGGTGAGGGCTCAGAAACAGCCCCACTCTTGGTGGGACATAAGCACACGCCTAAAATATAGGTCTTTTCCTGAACTGGGGCCAGTCAGGCCTTGGTGCACCCATGCACTAAGGACCAGTGGAATGTCCTGGGGATGCTTGGAATGTCCCCAGTGGGAGCTCCAAAGTCCCAGCCCCACAGTCTCGACCCCCCACTCGAGTCCCGAGTCTCGGCATGGGGTTTGTCTCATTCGGCGAGGCTGGAGGTGCCCCGGGTGCCTGAGCGAAAGGCAGAGAGAGAGAGAGAGAGAGAGGAGTGTGGCTCGTCCGTATTTAATGTTTAATACTGAGTGTTTAATTTCACTCCAGAAACGACAAAATCGAGGAAATGCCGGTGCCCGAGGGCTGGAGTGCGACGGCCGAATCTTTAATCGTTGCGCTGTACCCACCGTACCGCACCGGCGGCGGCTCGGGGCGGAGCGGGGAGCGGGCAGGGCTGGTGCCAGGAGAGCCGCCGCCCCCGGCCTCCAGCAGACCCGGTGGCGAGGACGCGGGTCCGAGCACGGGGCAGCCCCGAGGAGCCCCCCGGCCCCGCTGCCGGATCACGGAGGTCATACCCGCCGCCAGGGGGCGCTGCGCGACTGCCGACT